CGATTCCGCGATGACTGACCAATAATCCGAGTAGTTGTCCTGAAGGAACTCCGAATACACACTTGTTTGGGTTTAATTTCCACCTCCACCTTTTCAGGTTCCTGAAGGTTTGCTTTAAGTCTTCAATCAGTGTATCCGGGTTCTTTGTTTTTACTATCATGTCATCCACGTAAGCTTCTACGTTTTCGCCAATCTAATCACCAAGGCATGTTTGAATAGCTCTTTGGTAAGTGGCACCAGCATTCTTGAGTCCAAACGACATGGTCTTGTAGCAGTAGGCATCGAACGGAGTGATGAAAGATGTCTTGCTCTGGTCTTGTTCTTTTAATGCGATCTGGTGATACCCTTAATAGCAATCAAGAAAGGATAATAGGGCATATCTTGCTGTTGAATCAACTATCTGATCAATGCGTGGTAGCCCGAACGGATCTTTCGGACAGTGTTTGTTGAGATCTGTGTAGTCGATACACATGCGCCATTCGTCCGTGTTCTTTTTCTGTACTAGAACTAGGTTTGCTAGCCAATCTGGATGAAGGATTTCTCTGATGAATCCGGCTGCCATTAGCTTTGTGATTTGTTTTTTAATTGTTGCCTTCTTGTCAGGTGAGAATCGTCGTAGCCATTGCTTCACAGGCTTGGAGCCTTCATTGATATCAATTCTGTGCTCAGCCAACTCTCTTGGTACACCTGGCATGTCGGCCGGCTTCCAAGCGAAGATATCATTGTTGTCCTGAAGAAAGTTGGTGAGCGCGAGTTCCTATTTTGCCGAGAGGTGGGCGCTGATGGTTGCTGTTTTGGAGGGATGGCCAGTGCCCAGGTCGATTTGCTTGACGTCGGCTTCTTTTGGTGGTGCGAGGATGCTGGGCTTTTTAGCCGGTATCTCTAGTTCTTCTTGGCTTATTTCTACGGCAATAGTGGCTATTTCTTTTCTACCATTGTCGGCTTGTGCTTTGGCTGCAATTTGGATTGCCTAAACGTCGCAGTCAAAAGCGTGCTTCAAATCACTTCGAAGAGAAAGGACACCGTTACGTCCTGGCATCTTAAGCAATAGGTATGGATAATGCGGTATTGCCATGAATTTTGCTAGTGCTGGGCGCTCGAGGATTGCGTGGTATGATGAATTGAAGTCTGCAACCTCAAACTTGATGAACTCTGTTCGGTAGTTCGAGGGAGTTCCAAAAGTAACTGGTAGAGTAATTTGTCCAAGTGGCATGGCTGCCTTGCCGGGTACTATGCCATAAAAAGGTGTACTTGTTGGTGTAATCATCCCGACGAGTTGTAGTCCCATCTTCCTTAGCATTTCTGAAAAGATGATGTTGAGTCCAGCTCCCCCGTCGATCAGTACTTTGGTGACAGTCATACCGGCAATAGTTGGATCTAGAACCAGTGGGTAATGGCCTACGTTTCCTACGCTAGTCCATTGGTCTTCTCTTGAAAATTGGATTGGATACTGTGACCAATTGAGATATCTTGGAGTAGCCGGTTCTGCTGCCATGATAGTTCGTAGTGCTAATTTTTCTTGATGTTTGCTTCTGGAATCTGGGGCTCCAGTGAAGATCACTGCTACCGTCCCCCTAGATTTTTGGAATCCCTTGTCTTCGTGATTGTCCTCATCTTTTTTCTGACTGTCTTCTTTGGTGTTCTCCTTACTATCTTTTCTTGTGTATCGATCTTTGAAGGTGTAGAAATTTCTGATGGTGTGCTTTCCATTAGGGTGCAAGATGCAATGCATATTTTTAATGTCGTCATATGTTCTGGGTTTGGAAAACTTCCTTGATTTGTCAGTCATCGCCACGGTGTTGTCTGGTCCATGTTTTCTTTCCTGATGCCTTATGTTTCGATGATTTTGCTTGTCCGAGTTGTCTCGGTTGTTTCTATCCGGGAACCTTTCTCGTGTTTTCTCTTCTGCAGTAATCATCTTTTCTACTGTTCGTCTGAATTCTTCATTGTTTCTTGGGTTTTCTTTGCAGAAGTCTTGAAATTGCCACCTAGCCATGATTCCGTGAGAGAAAGCTTCGATTACTTCTCGTTCGGTGATGTCATGTACTTGAGCTCGTAGTTTGCCAAATCATCGATAGTAATCCCTGAGACTTTTGCCTTCTTTCTGCTTGAGTCCTTTTAACTCTGCGTGGGTGATTGGGTGTGTAATGATACCCACGAAATTTTCACAGAAAGCTCTTTGCAAGTCCTCCCAATTTCTGATTAATCCTGGATTCAATTTGTTGAACCATTGGAGGGGCATGGTTTCTAGGGTCATGGGAAAGAACAGGGTCTTGATATCGTCGTCTCCTCCAGCCAGTTCAATTGATTGCGAGTATATCCTGAGCCACTGCCTTGGTTCAGTCTTGCCATCATACTTAGAGTGGTTGAATGGCTTGAACTTGTGAGGTAGTCGTATTGAAGCAAGTCTGTTTGCAAAACAGGGGAATCTATCGTGCGTTCCGACTTCTTTGTATTCTGATTCGGCACCTCCTTCTGGCCAACTGTTGTTTTGGTGAGAGTAGTTCTGCGAGGCTGTCTGGGCAGGCGCCCTGCTTCTGGTCTTTCTTGGTTGTTCAACTCGGTAGTTCTAACTATGGTCCCTTCTACTTTCTCTGTTATGACTTCCACTTGGTCCAAGTCTCTCGAAAGCGGACTTTCTTTGATTTTGATCTTCTTGCCTATGAGACGTCGACCTGGCGGGTAGTCTTGAGCAAGTCCTTCCATCATGCGTCCTCAGGGCTGTTGACCGGAGAAAATCCCAGAGCTGTTCTTGCTTTTCACTGGGATGTGAGGTCGCTCTGAGTTCTTCTAGTGCTTCTCGGATCTTATCGTAGGGTGTATTTGCCGTGCGTCTTTCTTCGACTTCTTGTTCCGATTTTCTTCTATCGTACTCGGCCAATTCTGACTCATATCTGATCCAAGCTTCCTTGCGCTGCCTAGCACGGTGTTGGCGTCCTTGCTTGAACTTGTTTTTTCTTTCTCTGGCTTGCTTCTGATTCTCGGTCTCACCATCGTAGCCCTAGGCAAAGGGGGATATGTTGGATTCTGATTCATCCGATGACCTAACATCGGGCGCTTCTGGGGGGGCAATGGTGATCGAGGACGGCGAACCATGATTACTTCCCGTACGTGAACTGTTATGTTATTGCCGTTAGTTTCCATACTGTCAGAGTTGCTGATAACTTTAGTAGAGGCTTCGAGGTCGTAGATCGAGTCTCCTCCTTGGTAGGGTAGAATTGTTGTTGTCGTCGCGTCGACCAGTCAGGTACTGCTATCCTCAGGGACAGAGCCTGGCCAGTGGATGATGCAGTCTTGAGATGTTATAGTTAGTACGAGACCTTCCTGAGCTCCCTTCAGTGGCATTCTAAGCACCGGATCGAGGAATCCTTCGGGCCGTGTCTGATAAGATGTTGCCATGTTGTGGAGTCCGAACGGAAAAGGACCTGACTTCTTGGAAAGACTCTGAGTGTTCTCCAAGTTGTATTCTTGGTAGGCCAAAGCCGCGTTCTTAAGTCCCATTGGTAAAGAACTTAGTTTCCCGAAAGAACTCGGATAAGACTCCATCTTGGATGCGGAGCCTGAGTTCGAGTCAGATGCGCAAAGCTGCGAAATCTGAGTTGGATCGGATATCACGAGCTGTGCGAATCTTCCGGTGAGTTGGTCTGTCGTAATCGCTGAAATAGAAAGGTCTTCATGGTGATCCGAATCTTCGAGGAGACGGCTTTGGAGCCTACCATTGTCGTCCGCCTCGTAGATCCATGAGCCGAAGATGAAGGTTGATTCCGTCGAGAAGATCATGCTATCGAGGTCCATCAAGCTCTCGGATGCAAATTCACCGAAAGCCCCTACCTGGCGCGCCAGCTGTCGATGTTTAACCACTAATAGCCTGCCACGGGGTCCCCGAGGCAGTTTTGTTCGGGCTTCAGCGTATGCGGAACTCGACGGTAAACGCAAGAGATAGTCGATTTATCCTGGTTCGGGCCCTCGATCGCTGATCGAGTAATAGCCCTACGTCCAGTCGGCATTAGCCTTTGCGTTGGATTGATTGTGTTGTGTTGTTACAGTCATAAAAGTCATGATCCTCCCTTCTCTAGGAACCCTGCCCTCCTTTATATAGTCAGGAGGTCAGAATCCTAGTCGGTTTACAATGAGAGTTCCTAGTAGGATTACAGAATAATACTACTACTAAGATTACATGGGAAGAATCCTAGTTAGACTAGATCTTCTCTCCTCCTTGCGGGGTATCCCGTGGGTCCCGCACCGACAAACGCCGCCGGCGCTACTCCAACCGCGACGCTGCTGCCATCGCTGTCGCCACCTATGGGGCTCTGCCACCGCAGCTACCAGGAATCAAACGGTGAGCTGCACATTGTGGGTGCCATGGTGAGCACGTTCCACGAGACACAGAGCTTCACCTACAGCAGCGCGATCTACAAGTGCAATCTCCACGACCGTACGCTGGAGTGGTCCAGGGTGAGGGACATCGGTGATCAGACATTGTTCGTGTCTAAACATTTTAATGAAAGATTCAGTGGAACAAGTGTATCCAAGTACAAGGAGAACAAAATATACATGTCTGAGCCATTGTATGGGGATCCATACGACTTGGTCCATCGACTGGAGATCGTTGATATTGCTACCGGCGCATCCGAAGTGAAACCCGTACAGGAAAAGATGCAGGGTTCCGAGGCTCTAGGTTGGATTCGACCCAATCTCTGGAAGCTCTAGAGTTTGTGAGCCTGCGACGCCGCGCACTCCGTGACTGTGTTAAATTCATAAACTTTGCTTTTTGGATTAAATATCGCTTTAACGTTGGTATTTAATTTAACAGTATTGTTATCTTATTGTGCGATCCGTGTATTTTTAGTATAAATTGTTAGTTATCCCGTAACAACGCAAAAACCGGAAAAACAAGAATAGGAAAATGCTTGCTTTCAGCATTATTATCTCCGTTTGCTCTCCCGCCAACCCACAGGCCATTCCCAACCGCTGAAAACCTCGTGATCCCGGCCGCGGCCATGGCCGCCTCCGCTCCCATCCGCCTCCTCTCCCCCTCCCACTCGCCATGGCCGCCACAAGATCTGAACCCTAGGCCCGTACCGCGCCTCCACGCGTCGCCGGCGCGCCACCACCATCTCCTCACCGCCCGCTGCGCGTTGTCCCCGCCGTCACTTGACTTCCCGCTCCTCCCGTTCCAGCCCGTGGAGGTAAAGATATTTTAGATAGGATAGTTGTCTGGTTGTTCAGATTTCAGTCAAACCCGATTCTTTAATCTGCCATTGCCGACGTCGATGTTGATTATTCGGAGGAGTGGATGGTCCATTCCATTGAGTGCAATCAGTTGGTCCCATTTGAAGTGCCAGCCTGAATCATAAATTGAGATACTGCGGGAAGGTTTATACACCAAAGTGACTGCATTACAGGTTGAACAGCTAGCTAACAGGGAGCAAGACAGCAAACAGCTATCGAAGAAGGGAGAGGATTAGCGCTAAGGCAGACGACGGTAGCATCTGTTTCCAAATCTCTTCTGGCAGAGGACAGGTATCTGTTTCCAAATCTTGTCTGAAGACAAGCATTTTAGCATTTCCAGATATTATTTTTGGAGACTACTTTTGGATCTTATCTATGAATTTGTATTGTGTATTTTATCTGTTCAAAAACCTCACTGTTTCATATAAATTTTCTAAATTGCTATAAGTTCCTTCAATCAGTTATTTTTCATTGTTTTTTTTTATTTCTGAAACGACGCAAGAGAGCTGCATGATCAGATTAATCAGCAGTTTGCATTTTCAGTAAAATCTGTGGGATTCTTCTAAGATAATGAAAATGTTTAGGTGTTGATACCATCTGAATTCAACACTCTACACTTGTATGAAGCAAGATATATAGCATTGCTAGAGGAGGTATGAATTTTTTGTTCAGTACATTCTTTTTTTTCTTCAAAATGAGGACACCCCATTTCCATTGTTGAATAACGGAAGTACAGAAAGTCTAAGTTATCAGAAACATGGATAAGAGAATTGTTATGTTCGGCAGAGTCTATAGACGCCGTAGTGGCTAGGCTCAACCATGTGCCAAGCTGGGCGTGGTCACCAGGGGTGCACACGTTGCGATATTCAGAGTTTGGGTTAGTTTGGATTGAGAGTCATTAGAGTTTGATTAGTTGAGATTACAGAGTCCTAAAAGCTAGGGATAGTTGGTTAAGTTCAGTCCTATATGTATCAAACTCTATGGATCAATAAAGGTTAGCCAGGGATTGAGATTATATCTCCCATTGGCCCCCTGGGCAACCACGTTCTTCTTCCTCTCTCGCGAAACCCTCATAGCGACGGCGCCGAGCACGGCGCCGCCTGTTCGTCGTCCTCGCTTCAAGCCTCGTCCGCCCACCCGCTACAACTATAACCTCAGAAGCCTAAGCTCTAACAACCTGGTATCAAAGCCATGTCTGCTCCTGCGGCTTCCGCTCCCATACCGCCCCCACCTCCGCCGCCACCCCATCAGTCACCGCGCCCGTCAGCTCCACCGCCATAATCACCACGACAGCGCCCATTGTCTCAGCGATGGTGCCCATGCTACAGCCGACTTTCTCCCCGGCAGACCTTGCCCAGGCGTTCAACGGGATGACAGCAGCCATGGGCACGTTGCAGCGCCAGGTCACGGAGTTGTCGCTGCGTGTGTCCGCGATTGAAAGCCGGCCCTCCTCCTCGACGTTCCAGTACGGGCTGCCGGGCTATGGTGGTCTCCCTCCGCTGCTAATGTCGAGACCGGTGCGGGAGCTGCCGTTCTCCTCACCGGCTCCTCAGATCACGCCGACAACACCGATGGCGGCGATGCGATCCCTGGTTTGTCGTCACGCCGCCACCGTCACAAGGCGTGCCGATCATAGAGATCTCCTTTTCGCTGTCCCCGTCGCCAGTACCTCCGCTGTCATAGATCATGCAAGGTTTTGGATCACATGCCCATCCTACGTCTACCCCGATGCAGTCGCCAACATCAGTGCATCACCGGCCTTCAGAGCCTGAACAATCAGCGGTGCCGCGCTACCACAAGCTTACGTTCCCGTGCTATGATGGGGCGGACGATCCATTGGGATGGTTGCTCAAGTGCGAGCAGTTCTTTCGAGGACAGCAGACCCGGGCGGTCGATTAGGTGTGGCTCGCGTCCTTCCACATGACCGGCAAGGCCCAGATGTGGTATACCGTCCTCGAGCGGGACGCCGGGTGGCCGACATGGGATGATTTCAGACAGCTTTGTCAGCAGCGGTTCGGACCTCCCCTCAGTGCCAACCATCTCGCCGACTTGGCACGACTGCCATTCTCATCGAATGTCGAAGCTTATCTGGATGCGTTCCAGGCCAGACTGGCGCATGCAGACCACCTCTCACCAGACCAGCAAGCACAGCTCTTCACCGACGGCCTTCCTGATCATATCCGTGTGGATGTCGAGCTCCATGATCCACGCGACTTGCAGCAGGCGATGCGCTTAGCACACGCGTATGAACGCCGGAACGGCCCACAACAGCTGGCTCTACCGGCACCACCGGCGTGCCCTGGGCGCCGTGCCTTGACTGCCGCCACGGCATCATCCTCAGCATCAGCCGTGGTACCGGCCACCTCAGGTCCATCTCCATGGCCGTTCAAGAAGTTATCGCCGGAGGAGATGGCGGAGCGCCGCAAGCAAGGCCTCTGTTACAATTGCGATGAGCAGTATGTCCATGGTCACAAGTGTGCTCGCCTGTTCTATTTGGAGGCCTCGGATTACATTGTGGAGGAGCCGGAGGATAGCGATGATTCAATACAATCCACAACAGCAGTAGCAGAACCGTCCCCGATCGACCCCGATGATCCGCGGATCTCGCTTAATGCCATCACCGGCATTCGAACAGCAACAACGATGCAGCTCTACGTTCAGGTCGGGAATACACAACTTGTCACTCTCCTAGATTCTGGGTCTACGCATAACTTCATGCGCGCGGACATCAGTCGTCGCATTGGCCTCCACTTCTAGCCATGCTCGGGTGCGGGCGTGCTCATCGCGAACGAAGACCACGTCGCATGCAGCGGCCTCGCCACAGACATCGCCATCAGGATTGCAGATGAAGTGTTCACGGTGGACTGCTATTCTATTCTGCTGGATGGCTACGACATGGTCCTCGACATCAAGTTCCTTCACACATTGGGGCCAATCTTGTGGGATTTTGACGACCTATGCCTGGCTTTCACAAGGGCAGGTCACCGTGTCTTCTAGAGGGGGGATCGGCTCCACACGGTATGACGTTCAGTCGACGCGGCTCCATGCTATACAACCGGATGGGTCGGCCCTATTACAGAACCTACTGCAGGAGTTCAACGACCTCTTTGTGGAGCCGAAGGGACTGCCACTGGCTCGACGTTGTGATCACCGCATCCACTTGTTGCCAAACACAGCACCCATAGTAGTCCAGCCGTACAGATATCCACAGCTTCAGAAGGACGAGCTCGAGGCCCAGTGTGCTGCCATGCTAGATCAGGGGCTTATCCGGCCGTCGACTTCGGCATTCTCGGCTCCGGTGTTGTTGGTCAAGAAGTCGGATGCGTCCTGGCGCTTCTGTGTTGACTACCAGGCTCTGAGCGAGCACACGGTTAAGGACAAGTTCCCCATCCCAGTTGTGGAGGAGCTGCTCGACGAACTTAGCGGCGCACGGTTCTTTACAAAGTTGGATCTTCGTTCCAGTTACCACCAGGTCCGGATGCATCAAGAGGACATCGAGAAGACGGCGTTCCGAACACACCATGGCCACTTTGAGTTTCTGGTCATGCCGTTCGGCCTCACCAATGCACCAGCAATGTTCCAGAGCCTAATGAACGCTGTCCTCCAGCCCTACCTGCGTAAGTTTGTCTTGGTTTTCTTCGATGACATCTTGATCTATAGCCCGTCATGGACAATGCATCTCCAGCATGTAAAGGCGGTCCTCTTAGCGCTCCGTGCACACCAGCTGTGGCTCAAGCGCAGCAAGTGCTCGTTTGCTGAGTCCTCAGTGGCGTACCTCGGGCATGTGATCTCAGCTGAAGGTGTGGCCATGGACGTCAGCAAGGTGGACGCCATCACGACATGGCCGCAACCGCGATCGGTGCGCGGCCTACGCGGCTTCCTCGGTTTGGCCAGCTATTACCGCCGGTTTATCAAGTATTACGGTGCCATCGCGGCGCCCCTGACCCGGCTTCTTCGGCGCGATGCGTTCAACTGGTCAGATGAGGCTATTTTGGCGTTTGACGCCCTCAAACGGGCACTGTCTACAGCACCGGTGCTGCAGCTGCCGGCGTTTGACTGGCCCTTTACGGTGGACTGTGATGCGTTGGGGTCGGGATTCGGCGCTGTTCTTCATCAGGGCATCGGTGCAATTGCCTTCTTCAGCAGGCCCTTTGCGCAGCGCCACATGAAATTGGCGGCTTATGAGCGTGAGCTTATCAGCCTCATGCAGGCCGTGCAACACTAGCGACCATACTTGTGGGGGCACAGTTTTGTGGTGCGTACCGACCACTACGCACTCAAGTTTCTACTGGACCAGCGCTTGTCGACACCGCCGCAACATCACTGGGTGACCAAGCTCTTCGGATATGATTTGACAGTGGAGTTTCGCCCAGGTAGCTTGAACACGGTGGCGGATGCTCTCTCCTGCCGTCACGACGACGACGTAGCTGCTCATGCTATCTCTGGTCCGTCGTTTGAGTTATTTAATGAGCTACGAAGAGAGGTGCAGGAGAACCCGGACTTGCGCGCCCTCCGAGACACGGGTGTCGCCCAGCGTGGCGCACCGTGGCGCATGGTCGACAGGCTTATACTTTACGGCAACAGGGTGTTCGTTCTAGCTGGGTCGGCACTTGTGCCCATGGTGCTTGACCTTGCTCATTCAGCAGGCCATGAGGGGTTCCAGAAGACTTTGCAGCGCCTCCGTTATGAGTTCTTCATCGAGCATGACAGCGGGCTGGTCCGTGATTTTGTTCGCTCTTGCGCCGTATGTCAGCAGAACAAGGTGGACTCCCTCCGACCAGCCGGCCTCTTGCAACCCCTGGAGGTACCTTCGCATGTGTGGGCAGACATAGCTCTTGACTTCATTGAGGGGCTTCCACGGGTGCATGGAAAGAGTGTCATCCTGACTGTGGTGGACAGATTTTCGAAGCATGCTCATTTTATACCCCTTAGCCACTCGTACACAGCTATGTCAGTG